GCATATGGCACTGGGGGATTTAATTAAAATATAAAACTAGCAAGAGGTTTACTAAAAAAAGCACAACTCATAACTAACTTTTAGTTTGCTCTCACCATGTGCGTAAATCTCACAGGTGACAATTCCACTTTAAGCGCTTTACGGCTGAGTTATTCAGAACTTCATTAGCAAGTCTATACAGAAGATCTTTAAGTAGTTCAGGGAATTTAGTTTGGTTCCTCTTTAGCCTTCAAAATGAATTCTTAAACAACCAGGTCTCGCAGGCACCCTCTAACAAACAGTACATTGTGAAACAAAAAAGTGGGACCTATCGGGCTCTTTAATAACCAGGAGGTGGCCAGGACCGACTCTTTCCCTTTCTCTAAATTACTCTTGTGTTTAGAGAAGGAGCTTGGAAAAATGACATACTTCCCCATCCCATGCACAGCAGATATGGCAGGACAAATAAAACATTGAGAGGATCCCTCCCCAATCAATTTTGGAGGAGGAGTATCAGTGGAAGATCCAGGAGAACAGCACTAGGACAAATACTCCCCTCAGGAAGCCAGATGAACTTATGTTTTGCTTGGAGCAGGGGCTAACTTTGGGGTCACCTTCACTCTGTCCCATAATGCCTGCTAAGCAGATTGGCAAGGACACTACACATACAGGGAAAGGAGGCATTTCATTTATTTGTTAGGATATCAGTGTCGTAGCAGCAACTGCATGCCTAAATGTATGTAGGTATTTATCACGGTATGCATGTTTGTAAGTGTGTGTATCGTTATTAGTGTGGATGCATGTGTCCACCTTTTAGAATTTGTCACAAAATTCATCAGTGTTCCAGCTGAGTTTGGGCTTTGAATCCGCCTCCGAGGAGTGTTCACTCAGGAAGGTAAGGGGGAATTGAGGGGAATTGGAAGCACATCAATCATCTGTTATAGAGCCACATTCTGTAGTTCATGTAAGAGGGAAAGGTAATGGCTGACTAGTGGGAGTAATCTTGGTCAGCTGCTTTCAGTTATTTTAAACCATATCCACATTGGATATTGGAATAGGAGGCCACTGGGCATCCTCTCTCTGAAAACTAGTATGTCCATGTAGTTGTGTTTGAATTTATTTAAGCTCAACCTCTATCTAAAGATACACTCACAAACGTTGGATAAAATGAGCGGAATAAATGAATCTTGTTCAAATGCCTTTCTTCTTCTTTGTTCCACTTAGAAACTTTAAGACAAAACAGAAGAGCAAAACATAGTGTGTAACTGTATGTTAAAAAAGAATTGCTTTATTGGTTCCAGTTCCAAGATAAAAGAAGTAAAAAAGCCCATCAGATCGTAAGGTGTCTTCAAAGTCCAGAGGAAAGTGCATGTGCAAATTTTTTAACACAGATACACACTATGTTTTTTTCTTCTGTTTTGTCTTAAAGTTTCTAAGTGGAACAAAGAAGAAGAAAGGCATTTGAACAAGATTAATTTATTCCGTTCATTTTATCCAACGTTTGTGAGTGCATCTTAGTATTTTTAGATTTATTTTTACTTTTTACTTGCACTCTTGTGGTCTCTCTGTGTTCTATATATTTTAGGTTGTGCATTTTTATACAATACCTGATAAGCTATAATGAGATTAAAAAAAATAAACTGTCTTGAAGTTTGACAGCTGAATTCGTGGTCGTTGATGAATAATCCTTTGGATGTGTTTTAGTTAGAAAACAAAGAAAATAAATCTACAAAACTTATTTTAAAAAAAATAAGCTTTTGATTGCATTAAATATGTAAGTTCTTAACAACCAGTGGGTAGAATAATAACGGTTTATATCTCATTCCATTGAAAGTGACAAATTGAGAATATAACTAACCTGAAGGTATTAATTAGGCTTTTCATTTAGTAAGAGTCTGACCTTATAGCGGCATATGCCAAGAATGAACACGAATTTGGGACTTTCAGAATTAAAATATAATGGAATTAAGGATTATGACAGGTGCAATGGCCCCATACTGTGTAAATTAACATCTTGGCACTGGGCCTGTTTTTGTGTTTTGGCAGGAGGGCACTTTTCTCCTTTGATTTCTATACAAGTAATATTATCCTTTAAATATGTAACAGGCATATCTGTAACTACAAAGTCTAATGCTATAATGTAGCAATTCAGTAAGTGTGAGAGAGTTGACTTGCAGCACAGCCTCAAAAGGATATAAATTAGACATGCACTTTCGTTTTCAGGTGAATGGCGATTCATCAACATTTTTAGCATCCCTAATTTGTCCGAATAGAGCATTAACAAAAAGGATATAAATTAATCAATTAGATCAGTTTGATCACTTGTTTCTTGCTGTAAAAGGGGGAGACGAGAGGACTCACAGCCGACTGAATTCCTGGCAATTTTCACGTTACTGAATAACCCTGTGAATAGTGATTTTGTCACAGGCTTGACTTAGTAAGCCAGGCATTAGGAAGGTGAGTGGATGTATGTGCAATCATTGCCATGGCCAGTTCTTGCTGCAGATTGATTTTTTTGTAAATCTTTAGATTTTAAATGGGTTCTGATTGATTGATGGCTTGATTGATTAATTAGCTAAACAAACACATTTTATAAGGGGCATAGGTCTCCTGACCATACCTCTAGTGTAGGCTCAGCCTCTCCCAAAGCCCTTTTTCTAATCTTACAGTAGTCTGTCTTTTTTTAGTAACCAATTTCCTTAACAGTATTTTTTCCTATTTAATTATTATAACATGGTTTTATTATACAATTAAGATCTCAGTACGTAGTTGAAAATTGTTAATTGGAATCAAGACAAACACAGTTGTCTCTGCTTCATTGCCTCTCTGGACCATTTTCTGCTGGTCTTCTTCAAACAGCTAAAGGAGTTACAGTGACAGGATTGTCAACAACTGCCAGACCATCAGCAGCAGGCAGGCAGAAGAGTAGGGAATATGCAGGGCGCACTGCAAGCAATAGTAGCAATTGTCTCAGTCCATCTCCAAATGGAAAAAGGAAACTGAGGTTGTAGGTAGTAAATTTAGACTGATCGGTACCAAGCAAAGCAGTGGAGTTGAGAGGGGTCAGAAGTTATGAAGCATAAACAATTAATGACACAAAAAGAGGGTGGCAGTGAACGCAATATGTTCGGTTCGGATGCGAGTGGGCAAGGAATCTTATTCCCAGTCCTGATAAATAGAAACCCATCCACTTCTAATAGCCAGTACATGCACAATGTTTGCATTATATTAACACAATTCTTCACTGGTCATTGGCAATTCATTCTAGCTTATGGAAATGTAGTAAGGCCAAACCTTGTAGTACTCAATAGCTCAGTTCTGTTACTGGCACTTGAAACATACCCTTGGGCTGGCCCTGTGTTCTGATAGACAAAAATGATTGTGTCTAAACCAGCATTGATGAGATTAAGCATGATGATCCACTTGTATTACAAAGCATAGGAGACTGCTGGGAATGGAGGCAGAGATCTGTCTATAGAACACCTTTCTGTTCATCCTGTGGTTTTTAATATATTTTTCCATATCTTGGTCATTTGATTTCAGTGTCATATTTTGGCTTAAACAATTGTTGGAGCTCTGTAAGGGAAAATTGCTCAATAATCTCTGATGTGAAAAAAAAATAAAAAAATTCTTATTGCTTTGGGATTAAATATTTTGCCAGCGTGTGATCTGAGTTAGTGTGAATGAGGTTTGATACATATTGACTTGTTGGTGTTCTTGAGCATGACACTGAGTTGTTTGATAGATAGTTCAGGTGTTCAAGATAGTAGACCCATTGCATCCACTATACAGTAGCATAGGCGTGCGCACGGGGTGTGCCGGGTGTGCCTGGGCACACCCTAATCCCCGTGGCACGCCTATGGTTTGAGTCCTGCAGGAACAGCGTTCCTGCACTTTTTTTGAGCTTGCACTTGTCCTGCACTCAGCGCCCCCCGTCTCACCTCTTGCCCCTGTCATGGGGGGGCAAGAGGTGATGGATCCCCCCCCTCTCTCCAGCTCAGCCACGGTGAGGGAGCTGTCTGCTCTCTGCTTCCTCTCGCCGCGCAGATGCCGGGAGCCAGAATATGACGTCATATTCCGGCTCCCAGCTACTGTAGACAGCCCACGCAGCGAGAAGAAGCAGAGAGCAGACAGCTCCCTCGCCGCGGCTGAGCTGGAGAGAGGCGCCCGCCCCACTGGACCCCAGGGACAAGTCCACGCCAGCACTCCAGGTAGGAGGCTGGGTGGACATTTTTTTTAAATTAAAATATAATAATTTGTTCTTGTGTGTGTCTGTCTGTGTGTGAGTGCGTGTGTGTGTCTGTGAATGTGTGTGTCTGTGTGAGTGTGTGTTTGTGAGTGTACGCATATATATATATATATAAATATATATATATACACACACACACGCAGAGCCGGCGCTATCTGAGTGCCGGCTCTACTCTAAGCCTCCATGGGCCGGCGGGGAGACCAAAGATCTACCTCACTGGCCCACAGCAGCATGGAGGGAGGCAGGAGAGGACCCAGGGAGCTCTAGACAGAAGCTCTGCCAGGTTCCTCTCGCGATATCTGAACGTTGCTGCGACAACGCTCAGATCTCGCGAGAGTTAACTCTAGCCCCGCAGGCTAGAGTTCACTCTCCACTGGACCACCAGGGATGGCACATGGCAGCAAGGATTTACTAATTTGCCAAATCCCTCCAAACATACAGCACACACACATACAGCACCTACACACATACAGCTCACACACACAGTACACTAACCACACCCTCACAAACACACACAGCACCTTTAAAAAAAACACAACACCCTCACACACTGCACACTAACAGCACCCTCACAAACACACACACACAAACAGCACCCTCACAAATACACAACACTCACACAAACAGCACCCCACAGGACAAACATACACACACAAACACCATCACACACAAACAGCACAGTCACAAACACACACACACAAACACAAACACCCTCACATCACACTAACAGCACCCTCACACACACATCACACTAACAGCACACAGCACACTAACAGCACACACAGCAGTGTGTGTGTATATATATATATATATATATATATATATATGCATATATATATATATAGATACATACATACACACACACACACACACACGCAGCGTGTGTTTGTGCTTTAGGGTGCACACCCTAATGCAATAGGCTGCGCACGCCTATGTACAGTAGTGGTATAGAACCTTTTCAGTTATGGTCAATTAATTTGTGTACTGTGTATCGTGGCTAACCCCTGATAGATGGCAAATCATAACTAAATTATAACAATAATAAAATTATTTCCATTTGCACCAGGGACATGGACAAAATCAGGAGACTTGAAGAGCCAAGTGCTTGCCCTCTTTGTCTCTATAATTGTCCCTGTACTGTGAGTTATGTAATGTTTGATTTGCTATCTCTTCTTTTTACTGATTAGTCACTGGAAAACAAATGAAGATTTTCATATGTCTGACCGAACTGCACCGTGCAGATCCGACAGACTGTAATTAACAAACATTGTCAGTTAGTCAGTGTTTGGAAGCAATTCCTTACTTTGTATGCATCGTGCCCTCTGTTATATGTTGTTTGTTTCCTTTATTAGTATACACTTTGGGTAAAGGATGTATCAATGTATCTCTCTTTTTCTAAGGAATATTATTTTTTTGTACATCATTAGTGTCCGCCCTGGTCCTCCAGCTCTTATTGAACTACAATCCCTATAATTCTGTGATGGACAGATATAGTCCAACAATTTTAGATCGACCGGGAATCCTGGAAAATGTAGTCGAGCAGCAACTAAAAGATCAAGACTAGATGATATACATGGTTGTTTTTCTAATATGAGTTGGCTTATCATTATTCGCGCTAATCTGTTTCCTAATAAGGACTTCTGTGTAATGGTTACAGAGACACTACAGGGTGAAAATATGCAATAATGCACTTGACAAAGCACTATATAAAAATAAAAATTATTTTTAAAATTATTTCAGACACATGGTCATTGCAGAATTAACTAAAATATTCAAACAGGTGCATTACCCCATAGTTACTGTGTGTGAGTGTGTGTGTGTGTGTGATCATACATATATATGATTTTATTTGTAAAGGAACCCACTGGGTTATTTTACACTACACACAGGTATAAGATACAATTCAGTTATATAAGATGTAGAAAATGTTGACTGCAGATTTCACCATTTGAAAACTGAAGCTTGTATTGATTGACAATTTTTATATTTACCATTTTACAATATCATTATCAGAATTTGTTGTTGTTTTTTTATTTAGACCTTATGAAATGTAAATAACTGTAAAATGTATCTTTGGTGTAGTCATGCGATCTAAACTGAAGTAATTGGAGAGACGCCAAAGATGCCAGTACACCTTCCTGTAAACTTTACAGTACTTGTACAATCAGTACAGGGCCTGTTTGTAGGATAATAATCAGTGGTACTGAGGAAACTCCAGGGAAAATTAAAATATCCATATCAGACATATATAACCCAAGCCTGATTAGGACCAACAAGGACCAGCTATTATTCTCTCTCAGTTTTCTCCAGTCATCTGACTTTTCTTCTGACATCGGTGTGTATCTCATAAGTCCAGTAAGGTCATAGACAGCTTACTGAGACTTCTATGCTCACAAACCTCAGAAATCATGACGCTGGATGTTGTTACACTTTGCCTGAGGATGTCCTGTGTCTTGAAAAACCCCACAGGAAAGCATTGACTCAATGCTTTCCTATGGTGAAGGTCTAATATGCTCAACTCTTGGAATGCATGTGCATAAGGCTTTCCACCATTGCTGACATTAGAGGAGATGGAGCCAGTGCCGAGGGACCTCAACCTGGGAATCATGTAAGGTTTACACTTTTTTTTAACCCTTTCATGTTGATTCTGGAAGAACTGGATAACGGAACAAAGTAACAATCAGTCCTTCCAGCGAAGCTGGATTGCTTATTTCCATTGCCTTGAATAATCAAATAACCTAAGTTGCAGTTTTTCGCATTTGTATATCTTAATATGTCTTTTGTTTTGTTTTATTAGATGACCTGTCATGTGGCATTTCAGTACGTCTATATCTTCACTATGACACAACCTTAAAGATTTACAAATCCTAACTCGAGTTTTCCTAATTCTAGAACAATTTCCTATACTTTGCTTACCCAGCTAATTCAATCCCTGAAATTGATTTATACTAGGCATGGTGCTTTTTTGTTTGTTGCTACAATACTGTTACTTATTTAAAGGGACACAATAGTCACCAGAACAACTATAGCTTATTGTATTTGTTCTGGTGGGTATAATCATTCCCTTCAGGCTTTTTGTAGTAAACACCGTCTTTTTAGAAAAAATGCAGTGTTTACATTACAGCCTAGTGATAACTCAACTGGCCACTCCTCAGACGACTACCAGAGGTGCTTCCTGGGACAGTGCTGCACTACCATTCAGTGTCTCCACCATTTGCATGGAGGCACTGATCTCTCCTCATATAGATGCATTGATTCAATTCCTATGAGGAGATGCTAATTTGCCAGGGCTGTGTTTGGCTTGTACTGGCTCTGCCCCTGATTTGATCCTTGAAAAGCTCAGCCAATCCAATACTTTCTTATGGGGAAGCATTGTGATTGGCTTTAAACAGCACTTCTGATAATATCAACCAAGCAGGCAGATCAGGGGCAGAGGCAGCAGCAGTAGGTATGTTTTACTATATTTAGGGAGGGCAAGGAGAGGCCAGGGGGGCTAGATGGTGTTTTTAACACCATAGGGTCAGGAATACAAGTCTGTGTTCCTGATCCTATAGCGTTCCTTTAACCGTTATGTTTATGTATGACACAAACTCAATCAGTACCAAAGACTTTGAGAATTGTCAGATTTACCCTGCATGATATAGACTTCACAAGGCACGGCTTAGCCATTCAGATGTTAAAAAATAGGCGTGCACAAGGAGCCTCTTTGTCCTTTGTGATGCCTAATTTGGGCCGAGCTTTAATAAGTTTTCTAAATGGTTCATTACAATTACAAAAACTTTTTTTTTTCTAAATCACTTTTCCTAAACCATGGGGCCACATGTCGAGTCTTTTGTCATTGTTTTCATATTGTTTTTTTTTTTCTTTTTTTCCCCTCTATGATTAAATATGAATATGCAGAGAGAATAGGATGAAGAAGATGATATATCAAAACTATATATCTTTCTAGTTTGGTTAATGGTTTGGTTAAACACTCATACATTTTACCGGACCTTCTTAATTTCGTATGTCTTGATGATACATGTATATACTCTCAATTGCTTATTTTATTCTGTTTGTATCATGTGAGGAAATATTTATGTATAACAGCGTTTGTTAATATATTATACTCTTAAATTCTATTTCATTGAATATTGCCTATTTATGAAACCAAATAAAAATAAATATGTACATTTTTTTTTTTTAAATAGGCTTGCACAAGGAGCCTCTTTCTCCTTTGTGATCCCTAATTTTGCCCTAGCTTGCTAAATTATTCAGTACAGTTACAAAAACTTTCCAAAAGATATTTCTACCGTGGTCACCCTTAAAGTCTATGGAAATTTTTGTAGATAGATAATTTGGAAACTTTTTTCCAGCAGTACTGGATCAATTGGAAAGCTTACTAAATTGAGGCCTTCGTTCCCTGCCGATACTTGTAGATAAGTTTAGCTACACATTATCTGATGGAAGACAACAAGCATGAAAATTGAATGCATCATTGAATTCTCCTAGAAATCACTGAAGGAAAAGTTATTTTGTGTGTGCGTCTTTAAGTTTGTATTTATAACGTAAAAGTTAGTTGGCAATTGTAACGGACCGTTTCTCTCAAACGGGGATAAAAACCGTTTAGGCGATAATCCCCTTTCCCATAGACCAGCAGCTATTGCAATCACCAACCTCCCGAACTCCAAACTGTACGAATCCCCAACTCACGAACAAGAAATACACGAACTCTGGAAGCAGCCGAACAGGAAAAGCAATACGAACGGCTTACACTCCTGGCAGTCAGCACACAATCCAATTCCCCCAATAACGAGACGACACTTCGTTTTGAGGGTTAAGCAGAATCTGCAGATTTATTCACACAGCCTCCTTTTAAGACATTCTCCCATGCAAGGGAGGGATCCACAACAATTAGTACCCCAGCCAATAATGTACCAGTTACCTCCCACACATCTCCTCCCCTTAGTGTGACACATAATCCCATTAGTACAACCACAAATTCCCTGGGATACTGGATGTACCCCTAAACATAGGGATACCCCTTTAAATGTTACATCCCCTGGTAGCCCTGATCTGGGTGAGACACATATCCGAAAATCACCCAGATCGGACCAGGGGTTCAGGAATTATAAAGGGTTAAAGTTTTGACCGACTGCATGGCAAAAGTATCCGAAAATAGTTCCATGTACTTTGGCCCTGCAGTCGGTCACAGAAAAGGGAATGAATCACACGAATTGCCTGGGTTATAGAGCTTGGGGAGGATTCGTATGAATCCCCCTGTTCGTGGGATCCTTTCTACCGAACGGCGGGCCGTTCGGTAGTTTCTGCACGAATTGCTGGAAGTCTGGAGGTCTCAGCGGTGTTTGCTTAGTCGAGTGTCCGATTTTAGTTCCAGACACTCGACGGCAAAACACCGCTGTTCGGGAGTTTAAGATGGCCGCCGCCACGTGTTCGTTTCCCGAATGGCGGCCACCCAGAGGACACAACACACATTACACATATTGCCAATTACCCGTTTGCAACATTGTTGCAAACGGTAATTGGAGGCACACTTACTCCCGGGTGGTCTGGTTGTTCGGTAGTTTCACCCAATATAATGAATGAAGTGATTCTACCGAACAATCAGGGGAATGCTGCATTCACATAACACTTTATACCGAACACATAATATTAAATACAGCCTGAATGCAATTTGCTACACAGTCTTAAAAAGGCATTATTCCTAACAGGCAGAATATGTTCACGGATGGCCCTTAAAGGGCCAGTAGCAGCAATATAAGAATGTCACATGCCCAAATATTGCATACAAAAGTACGAATTCACAAGGGGGCCATAGTCAGATGGCAGGAGGCTGGCAACCAGGCTTCTCCAGTGCATAGTGGCGAGGTTGGTTTCGCCACACTTCTC